AGCGGCCGACTTCAGCTCAGGTCATGATCTCACGGTTTGTGGGTTCAAGCCCCACATCAGGCTCTGTGCTGAACATTTGTTCAGAGCCTGGAGCTGCTTCAGATTCTGTATCTCCTTCTCTCTCTGCTTCCCCTCCACTCATTCTTTGTGTCTCTCAAAAATATGTAAAAAAAATAAATAAATAAAAGAATCCAGAAGGTTCTCTGAGATGCCTCTTAGGTCTTCCATGTCCAACAGTAAAATAACAGAAAAATAGATTTTGCTTGCAGTCACGATGAAGCCAGAATTCCTCTCCTGCTATAAATAACCAGAAAACTGGAAAGATACGAGGCAGCAACTACCTCTGGACAGTGGACACTACGTGCGTAGGGCAGCAAACCCTGAAAGACGGGGAACACATGAGGTGAGCCCGATCCTCACCTGGCTTTGTGCCCAGACCACTAAGTGGACTGCAACACACAAGTACAAGTCCCAGGCAGAGCACTGTGCTCTTATAAGTTGAGAAGACAAAAATCAGGAAGGCAGAAGCAGCTAGAAAGACTACTAGAACTTACAGGGCTGAGTGCCAAAAAGGAGGGAGCTACACAGAGAAAAAGCTCCAGAAATCTGTCTAGGGGTCACTTTGAACTGTCTGCTGATTACTAATCCCAGCACCCCAGTGAGACAGGGCTCCAAAGGCCCGGCAAAGGACACGCAGTGGGGGGCTGGAGGCTGAGGTTTCATACATATCCCGCGGGGCTGGGGGCACATCCAAAGCCCTAGCAACGGGAGTGGGGTGCTCATTAAATACCCTGGGCCTTCAGCTGAGAGCCTGACGGGACACCCCGCTTGAGTACAGGGGCTACAATAACCCTATGATAAAGGCTGCCTCAGACCTACCCTCACAGTGTGTAAGATCAAACCTCTGAAGGACCGAGCTAACACACAGGTAACTGACTGAACCGCCTGCCGAGTGAGCGCCCACACTTCTGAAGCAGCATGTGACTCAGCGCCTGAAAACACAAACTTCACAATATCCAGTTCTGACTTAAAAAAAAAAAACCACTCAGGAAAATGTAACCTATTAGGAGAAAAGTCAGTTAATAGAAATTCAGAAATAATAAATCAAAATTAGCAGACTGGGATTTTAAACGAGCTACTATGAATATGCTCAGTGTACTCAAGGACCAGATGGCACTTCCGAAGAATAACAGTACAGTGTTTGGAATGAAAAATTCACCAGATAGAAAAGGTTAGAAGAAATCTGCAGCAACAAAATAAAACAAAAACGAAAGAAAAAAGCAAGATGCTCAAGAATCCCAGAGATTCAGGGCACTTGGCAGCTCAGATGGTTAAGCATCTGACTCTTGGTTTCAGCTCAGGGCATGTGGGATCAAGTCCAGTGTCAGGTTCTGTGCTGACAGCACGGACCCCACTTGGGATATTCACTCTCTCCCTATTTCTCTCTTCCCCTTCCCTGCTCACACTCTCTCAAAATAAATAGACTTAAAAAACAAAAACAAACCCAGAGAAACAGACACTTCAAAAATGGTTTAGGTCACCCCAGTAGGTATTAAGAAAAGACTAGGTCCAAGGCAAAGGGGGTACAGAATGTGTAGGAGGCAAAGGGAGACAACACCAACTGCAGCGTCATGATCAGTCACCAAAATAAGAATCACAGTAGCTATGGCTCCCTTCTGTGGTTGTACCTGTACATCTTCTGTAAATATAGCAATTAATCTTTTTGTTCGCCCCTACTTCCTTTACCTAAAATACATGAATATTTTTATAGCAGTGAACTTTACACTTTTGTCTTTAGGTTACAAATATGCAGCTGGGGACGTGAGTACTAAGGAGTGATTAACACCGCACAGAGGCCGGGCCCACGGCCGCGGCCCAGACCCGGCCAGGATAACTGGCGCTGTCCCGTGCTGCGGAGAGGGTAGGAGTAACCTCCGTATATGGGCGGTACGGACTTGGCTTATACGCCCCTGGACTAAGGAGGACTTTTACGACTCTACAGGTTGTAAGCAAACAAACAAAACCACAAGAATATGCGACAGAAACCCTACGTGGCCAGCAAAGCTAAAATGCTTTAGCATGAGGGTCTCCCTTACAGGAAAGTGGACTGAACCTCAGTTTTACCAAGAATCACATCTTCTAAAAGGCAACTACGAAGCTGTTACTGATTCAGCCCAGGAAATGACAATCTCTGTGGAACTACGGCTTGTCAGCTCCCAACCCCCCTTCTAGACTCCACCTGGTGAGGCTGCGGCTTTAAGTGTGTGGATTACACACCCTTGCTCTGGGGGCTTCTCTCAGCGTCCACCACAGGTGGCCGGGATGCTGGAGGGGGCAGCACGGCCTGGGCCTCGCTCTTCATCCTGATGGCGGGAGTGGCTTCCATTCTCCAGCGTTTACTGCCACTCCCAGAACCAGCCTCGCCGCCGCAGCCCCTCCGAAGAACCAGCACTGACGGCAATGTCCTCTCCTCCCAGGCCCGAGGCCCAGCGCCAAGGGCCCTTCCCCCAAGCTCGTTTGGTCCTGAAAACTCCAAACTCCTCCCTGTAGCCCCAGTCCTAGAAGCAGCAACTCGTTTCTGCAATTACATCTCTGTTCCATGCCCGCGTTTTTCAAGTCTTCAACTTCTTTGTCTAACTTCTTATTTTCTGTTGAGAGATCTACTGTCTACCAAATGGGCTCTGACTGATCCAAGCAAGTTTTCAATAAGTGTTTGGTAAATAAATAAATGCCAGGTACTATATTAAGTACTGGGGTTATGGCAACAACACAGACACGGACCCTGTCTTTGTGCGTTAACTATAATTATAATAAGCGCTATTCAGTGCTATGGCCTTACACCAAGGACCTTAATAAGAGGCTATGAGATACATTATATTTAACCTAGAGTTTGGGGTCTTATTACAGGGAGCTTTAGACTTCAGAGTGTTAGAAGATCATGGCCAAAAAGATATGACGGATCTGTACTTCAGAAAGATGACTCTAGCAGCAGCTTAGTACTGTCTGATAGAAGTCACTAGAGAAAGTTAAGAGACGACTGCAACAATGTGGGTTAGAAGTACCCTGAACAGGGTTACAGTAGCACTGGAGTGGGTAAAGTGAATACAACAATCATGGTGAAGACAAAATCACTAGGTCTTAGGAGCTGACTAAATGCAGAAGACTAAGGAGAATGGACTAGTCAAAGGCATCTGAAGTTTGCACTCTTCATAAGCTAGGAAAGCAGGAAAAGGATGAAAGTAGATCATGTAAGAAGCGGTACCCAGAAGGCAATCTAAAATTAGAGAAGAGAGGTCAAGGCTGAAGTTACAAATTTGTGAGTTGGCCAGAAGAGGAGAGCTTTTGTCTATGCCTATGATATGATTTTATACAATTCAAAATTAATTACACTATACATACCCCCTGAACTGATGCTCCAGGGACCAAGGCCATATTTGCACGGACTTCTTCTTCATTTAAACTCAGCCCCATGTACTGAGAGAGCTCCGGATACAGTTTAGGGTAGAGATCTAACATAAATGAAGGAATAAGGAAAAAGGCATCAGAATGTTTAAAATGAAAACTGTTACTATGGGCTTCTACTTGTGTTTAAAAACTACATTTAATTTACAGACTATAATGAATTTAAATTAGCAGTTTGGCAAATCATCTCCTTGTCTCTGTAATGATAATTAGAAATGGGAAATACAGAAAAAGTTTAAGGTGAAAAGTCATAAAATATAAATACATTTGGACTGAAATAACCTCAGATTTCTAAATAGTGATGAGTGGAAGTAATTTTTCCAAATAAATTATCTTGCCTTTTCTTCTTAAAATAAACCTATTTAAGAATTTCGTTAGCATACAACTGATCCCCACCTCAGAACTGACTAAAATGTTTATTGTCGAGCCAGCTAGTTTACAACTCATTTAATAAACACTGTTTTGAAATGATTCTTCTGCACTACAATAAAAAAAAAAGCTTAAAAATGTATTTAGTGTCAGAGAATTTAAAAAAACTAACCACATTCTAATGAAATCTTAGGAACAATATATTAATATATTAAATAGGAACAATATATTAAATAGTATTTAACTTAGTAGCAAAGTTAGGTACATTTCCTTAAGTTCTTTTTTACAAGGTTTGTCACTTAAAATGAATTTTCTAGAAGAAACAATGCTATAAGGAGTTATAACACAAATGACTACAAAAACCTATTTAATACTCCTTTTTTATTTTAAGTCGTACTATTTAGGGGCCCTGTCCTAAATCTCTATAAACTCAGAAGGAAAAGGAACCAATGAGAATTATATACAGACCTCGCAGAGGTTCCACAATTTGGCACACTTTCCCAAAATGTGTCGGTTGGAAATTTCAAACCCCACAAAGATGGAGGACAGTTCATGAAGTTCAAGAGCAGTAGCACGGGGCACAGTTCACATATACTGTTTTTTCATAAATGAATCAGTCATAAATTAGGGATTTACAGGGCTGAGATTTAACTTAATCCATTTAATTTTGATTAAATTATAAGACCTATCTTCATATTCCTAGTTCACTTTCTTTATTAAAGGATTATATTCTGAAGTAAACATTTTTTTCTGTTACTGGAACTTGAACCACATATTATGCTACAGTTTAAAAAAATTTTTGGATCTGCTGTTTCAGTAAAAGAAGGCTTAAACATGTTTCTGTTCAAGAAAAACGAACCCAAAGTATAAACCTACTTCCATCTTGAGAAATGGGAGCAGAAGCCTCAGCCAAAATTGCTGGATTGGCAGGGTTTGCAGAAAAGGCAGTTTGAGCCTGAAAAAGAAAGGAAGATTCTAACAATGCTATATATATATATATATTCTTAATTAAAATTCTTATATAATTTATAAGTTAAATTGAGTACTTCCAAAAAGAAACTAAAACATTTAACTCTTATTCAATAAAGTTTAATTTCAAATACTTCAGCAATGTATTTTTGAAAGGAAACCTGCAAATCTAAAATACATTTCATATTCTGAATATTTTAACATTATCATATAAAATGGAATAAGTGCCATATAACCAATATTTCACAGTGCTGTTGCAAATAAATTAGTATTTTCAAAATGCATTATAAAATATATGGCTACATATTTTATACTTTTATTACTCTTTTTATTAACTACAAAATTATTTTACCTGTAGAAAAAGCTCAACCTTATTATACAGAAAGTCACATCAGAAAAACACCTAAAAATTTAAATACTCTTAAGTTGCTAATATTTTGCCATTTTGGCATATCCCACTGAAATGATCTTCATTTTAGAAACTATAAGGAGGGGGATACACTGTGCTAAATACAAAATTATTACTAAAAGTATGAAAAAGGCATACTTAGTGATTAAAATAGTATAATTTATAACTTTTACACAAACTTGTCAAAGTCATTTTGCAATGCATGTCTTTATCAAAATGCTGATGCTCAAGTATGCCAGGAAGTCCTCTCGGGCTGCCTCACAGCCCAGGTCACAGAAAGTATTCCTTTTTCCAATACAGATCTGACTTTCTGAAATCGCCATGTATATTTAGAGACAAGATTGTATAGTTGTGTGGCCCATCTTTTTTTTTTTTTTTAATTTACTTATTTTAATGTATGTTGAAGTTAGCTAGCATACGGTACAACAGTGATTTCAGGAGTAGAATCCAGTGATTCATCCTCTACATATAACACCTAATGCTCCTCCCAACAAGTGCCCTCCTCAATGCCCCTTGCTCATGTAGCCCAACCCCTACCCACAACCCCGCCAGCAAGCCCATTTGTTCTCTGTATTTAAGAGTCTCTTATGGTTTGTCTTCCTCTCTGTTTTAATATTATTTTTGCTTCCCTTCCCTTATGTTCATCTGTTTCGTATCCTAAATTCCACATGAGTGAAGTCATAGGATATTAGTCTTTCTCTAATTTTGCTTAGCATAATACACTGCAAATGACAAGATTTCATTCTTTTTGACTGCCGAGTAATATTCCATTATAGATCCTCTTTATCCATTCATCAGTTGATGGACATCTGGGCTCTTTCCAAGGTTATATGGTCCATCTCTAATATCACTTTTTACTTAATTGGAAATTTGGGGGTTAAATAATGAAGTTTAGGGGGCTCCAGGTGGCTCAGTCAGTTAAGTAGGTTAAGCATCCATCTTCAGCTCAGGTCATGATCTCATGGCTCAAGAGTTCGAGCCCTGCATTGGCCTCTGTGCTGACAGCTGAGAGCCTGGAACCTGCTTCTGATTCTGTGTCTCCCTCTGTCTCTCTGACCCTCTCCCTCTCATGCTCTGTCTCTCTCATAAAAATAAACATTAAAAAGTAATAAAAGGGGTGCCTGGGTGGCTCAGTCAGTTAAGTGTCTGACTTCAGCTCAGGTCATGATCTCATGGTTCATGGGTTTGAGCCCTGCATCGGGCTCTGTGCTGACAGCTGCTCAGAGCCTGGAGCCTGTTTCAGATTCTGTGTCTCCCTCTCTCTGACCCTCCCTTGCTCGAACTGTCTCTCTCTCAGGAAATAAATAAAAAACATTTTAAAAAATTTTTTAAAAAAGTAATAAAAAAAATGAAGTTTTATACCTAACCCTGAAATTAATGCCAAGAGTAGTCACAAAGATGATTGGAGTGATGGAAGCTTAATTTAAATAAGTACAGCCTAGAAAAGTGTTGGAGGGTACTTCACTCACTCGGGTAGCAAATGTTTTGATATGCATGTTATTGCATACTTTAGTATTACTTGTTTACCATCTGTCACATTCTAAACTGAAATAAAATGCAATAATAATCTCTATAATTTTATATAGTAGTCCACAAACTCAATGTATGTTGAATTTTCAGGGTTCTTTCACCAGCTATCAGCCAAAATGAGCTAGGAGCCAGTGGACTACTTCTCTAAGGAAAAACAGTGTTTTTCAGCACTCAAAGGAAATGAACTATCAAGCCATGAAAAGGCATGGAGGAAGAAGCTTAAATGCATTATTACTAAGTGAAAGAAACCAACCTGAAAAGTCTGAAAACAGTGTGATTTCAAATGTATAACATTCTGGAAAAGGCAAACTACGGAGGCAATAAAAAGACCAGCAGTTGCCAGGGATAAGTGGGGAGGAAGAGAGGAACAGGTAAGAATTTTTAGGGCCATATTTTACAATAAAGAATTCTGTAGGACACTAAATTCTGGACAATACCATGGCAGCTATGTTATGACACATTTGTCAAAACAACACCAAGTATATAACACCAAGACTGAACCCTAACGTAAATGAACTATAGACTCTGAGTGGTAACACTGTGTCCCTGTATGCTAATCAATTATAATAAATGTACCATGCAAGCGAGGATACGGTTAGAGGGGGAAGATGTGCTCTATGTATGTGGGGGGGGGGGGGGGGGGGGGGGAGTTCATTACAGGCTAACCCTCTGTAACCTTCCATTCTGCTGTGAACTTAAAACTGCTCTAAAAATAGAATTACTAATTTTTTAAAAAATTTTTAATGTTTGTTTATTTTTGAAGGAGAGAGAGAGAGTGTGAGCAGGGAAGGGGCAGAGAAAGAGGGAGACACAGAATCCAAAGCTGCTCCAGTTTGGGTGAGAGCCCAACACTGGGCTCGAACTCATGAGCCAGGAGATCATGACCTGAGTAAAGTCAGACACTTAACTTGGTGAGCAAGGCACCCCTATTTTATAAAACTTGTTCTTTTTCATGATCTCATGAGCCTGTGTCAGGCTCCATGCTGAGCATGGCACCTGCTTGGGACTGACTCTCCCTCTCTCTGCCCTCCCTCACTCTCATATAAACTTTTAAAAATAATTTTCTTAATGTTTAAAAATATTGTTCATTTTACATTTGTTATTATTTTCTATTCTTGTACTCATTCCTTTTGATCTTATCCAAGGAATACTGAAATGAGTGAAATTCCAAAGAATACTGAAATGAGTGAAATTATAGAGAAAAAGCTCTCTGCTAACAGTTATGTACTTCATTATTATATAACCTCTAATAAAAATAAAACAAAAGAAAGATGGTACATCAACGGCCTAAAGACTATATAAGCCATTAAACGTAGCAAATTATTTCACACTTACTGGAAATCTCAAACTATTAAATAAAAAAGGAATGGGGTCCCCAAAGAGTCACTTCCAGGGCACGCACGTGCAGCCCCGAGTGTCAACCTGCAGCCCCCGCCTGAGATTGAGGAGCACTGGATCTCTGTATTGCTGTCTCTTAAAAGCCCGTTGTGTGCAGATGTAACAACCAGAGACCCCTGTTAGGGATTCATGATGGACAGAGACTGAGGGCTGATACGATGCGAAGAACAACAGCCTAACGGCTCCGGGAAAACAGCTCACAAGGTCTGGACTGCTGGCTCGCTGCTGCAACTCAGCTTTGCTTCGTGCAGAGCGTGTATGGAGATCAGGATATAAACGCTGCCTCTGCAGCGGCACCTCAAGCACAAAAATAAACCTGTGTCTCTCCTAGAAAATGAAACAAGAGAAGACCAGCCCAGGACTACTGTGGCTAAAGCAGGAATATTCTTTTTTTTTTTTTTTTTAATTTTTTTTTAATGTTTTTTATTTATTTCTAGGGGAGAGAGAGACAGCGTGAGCAGGGGAGGGTCAGAGAGAGAGGGAGACACAGACTCCGAAACAGGCTCCAGGCTCCGAGCTGGCAGTCAGCACAGAGCCCGACGCGGGGCTCGAACCCACGAACCACGAGATCATGACCTAAGCGAAAGTCGGACGCTTAACCGACTAAGACACCCAGGCGCCCCTAAAGCAGGAATATTCTTAAATGCAGAAAGAGTAAAGCCCCATGTTGCCCCCTCCTTACTCCCCGCCTTCTCGCCTTCTCGTAGAGCAGCTAGCTTCCTGCTCAGAACATAAAAGGTTTTCTCATGGAAATATCCCTATCATTTGCTTCTCCTTAAAGAGGTCGGTGTGATGTGTTCATGGCCCTCTTTATTTCCCACTCAAACATTTATAAATATCAACTTTCCTGTTTGTTTTTTAAAAATCAAAAACTTCAGCTCAAAGGCAACTATGGTTAGAGCTCAAGTCTATAAAAACTAACAAAAAAGGATGAAAACAGACTAGTCACTCTTTCAGATCCATCTACATATCCTCTTTAACGTCTTAATGGCTTGTTAGTCTCAAAGGCTAAATATTTCAGATATAAGCTTTTTAAAAACAGCGTATGCTTGTTCAGAGGAATTTTGCAAAAATAAAAACCATATGAGGAAAATACTGACAAAATCCTGAAGACAGAAGGGATAGAGTATTACATGACTGAACAAACTTCTTAGAACTGAAGCATCAAAGCCTTTAGCAGCCAAACAGATTTCAGAGATTTTTACCAACCACATTTTAATATCCTAAGTGGATTTATAATGGAAAATATGTATTCATGATGTCCACCCATATCTACCCATCCATTGCTGCTGTAAAGTAATTCCAGCCATACGGCTGCTACTATTATTGTTGGGGGGTTTTCACCCTGGAAAGGCCAACATTTTGCCTAAAAAACATTTACATACTTGAGGTTGCTTAAGACTTCTCACAGGCTTGTAATGTGTAAAAACTTTTTAATTTTTTGTTACCGTTCATTTATTTTTGAGGGAGCGAGCACGCGTGGATAAGGAGCAGGGGAGGGGCAGGCAGAGAGAGAGAGAGAGGGAGGGAGGGAGGGAGGGGTAGGCAGACATAGAATCTAAAGCAGACTCCAGGCTCTGAGCTGTCAGCACATGGCCTGATGCAGGGCTCTAACTCACAAACAGCAAGATCCCAAACTGAGGAAGTCAGATGTTCAACCGGCTGAGCTACCCAGGTGCCCCTATAATAAACTGCTGTTAGATATTTTTATGTCTGTTAGATAATTATTAAGAAGTATATCTTATGTAAACAAGGGTCTTCAGGATAAGAAGTTCTGAAGTAATTAACAACTCAAAAAAATCTCATCACATTTATCCTATTAAAAAGGTTTTAGGACTAACGAAGGAAAACAGGGAGTTTGATTTACCTTGTCAAATTCAAAGAATAAACAACAGCTGACAAATTCAGTTTATTTATAAGAGATCAAGTTGAAAATAAACTGCAACAAAGGTAGGTTCATTAAATACTACAAATTATACCAGTTGAAGAGAAAAACTTACAAAAACATCAAGAATTGAGCCCTATTTCCAACTTTCTTAAGCAGAAGCCTTGATCCTCATTCAAAAACAAAATTTTCTTTTAAGTTTATTTATTTATTTTGGGAGAGAGGAAGAGCGCACACAGGGGAGGGGCAGAGAGCGAGGGAGAGAGAATCCCTAGCAGGCTCTGCTCTGTCAGCCCAGAGCCCAAAACAAGGCTGGACCTCATGAACTGTGAGACCATGACCTGAGCCAAAGTCAAGAAATGGGCTCTTGCCTATCTGGGCCACCCAGGGGCCTGTCCCGCAAGCATCGGTCTTGAAAACGAATACTCACATCAAGTACTACAAAAATGTTTGACTTAATGAAATGCATTTAGAGGACAAACACGTGAAATGTCTGCCACTTATACCTAAAAGGAAATAAATCACTTCACTTTCATTGTGCTTTTACACTACTTTTAAAAGCATTCACCATTTCTGTAATTTTTAACTTCGAAGAAAAGGCAAAGAATCATTTTAATAATTAGTCATATCTGAAGATCCAAGAGAACAAGGTACTAACTTTAAACAAAACTACGAACCGTCTAAGGAGTTGAAGTGTATTTTACCAACTTAATTATACAATATTAAAATTTTAGTCTTATAATCAACCTATCTTTAAAGAGTTTACGTCCAGTTTTAAAGAATACCCCATGCCCATTAATTCACAGTGAAATAAAAAAGAATCGTAGTTTTTCTGTACCTTTTTAGTCTGCAATTAATAAACGGTACAAATGAATGCATCTGCTATTTAAGTTTTTTGCTCACTTCACCTATAACTAGAATGTTATGACAATTTTTTAAAAGTACATACACAACTTAAACATACCTGAATAACTTTGTCTACCTTCAGGTCCTCAAGAGATGGGTACAGAGACATTTTTGCAGGATTTTTCTAAAGGAAAAACAAAAATAAATGTCTGTAATTAAAATTTCACTGAAATTTATATAATATGCATACCCAACAACATATACACCAGCAATACATATGAACATCTGTAAATTTTTAACACAGTAAGAAACACCTGAACTGTAAAACACATGGAAAAATATGTACATCTATCCTACACTAAAAACTGATTACTGGTCATCAAAGTATCTCTCCCTCCGTTACTACTACTACCACCAAACTAAATCCACTGCAGATTTTAAATTTCTCTTCCAGGAAAAGTCCATTTCAGAAGTTTAGAAAAATCAAAGAGTTTATGTGGCTTACCTAGCATACACAAGTGCTCAGCAAAAGTGCAAGGATTATATCCTAACAAAACCCTAAAAGAGTTCCTATGCAGTATCTATAGAATCTCCATCACTAGGAAAAATACACACACACACACACACACACACACACACACACACACGTAGTTGAAAACAAACAATATACAGCAATTACTGACAATAGTTTTATCTTTAGGACACGTGAATAATACAAATATTAAGAGACTAAGAAGATGGAAATTTTTACATGAAAAAAAGTTTTTAATGTTTATTTTTGAGAGAGAGAGAGAGAGAGAGAGAGAGACAGAGCATGAGCAGGAGAGGGCAGAGAGAGGGAGACACAGAATCCAAAACAGACTCCAGGCTCCCAGCTGCCAGCACAGAGCCCAACGCAGGGCTCAAACTTGGGAACCATGAGATCATGACCTGAGCAGAAGTCAGATATTTAACTGACTGAGCCCCCCAAAGTTTTTACGTTTAAAACGTTTCTACACTGTTCAATGTTTTTAGTGACCATGAATTGCTTTTTCTAGTAATTTAAAACAAAGCTCCTTAGAAGTATTACAAGGAAACGTACTTTAAAAATTTTTTTTAATGTTTTTTTTTTTTTATTTCTAGGAGAGAGAGAGAGAGACAGCATGAGCAGGGGAGGGTCAGAGAGAGAGGGAGTCACAGACTCTGAAAGAGGCTCCAGGCTCTGAGCTGGCAGTCAGCACAGAGCCCGACGCGGGGCTCGAACCCACGAACCGCGAGATCATGACCTGAGTGAAAGCCGGACGCTTAACCGACTAAGCCACCCGGGCGCCCCTAAGGAAATGTACTTTAAAATTTTGTTTGGCTATTTTGAAATACCTATCTGGTACCTTTTTTAAAGCCAACAAAACAATATATCCTACACTGGCAGAGGGTAGGTATGAGAGATTCTGGAGCTGGCTATCATCTTATCACCTCCCCTCTCCAAATCCATGCATTCCTTGAGGTCTGCAAAATGGAGACGGCCCCTTTAAGGATGGCTCCGGGGCCAGCAAGCACGGGTTAAGCTGTGAGTGCAGGGAGCTGGAGATACACGGGAGGAGAAAGGGTTTCCCTTCCAGGTTCCAAGACAAACTCAGGCAAGGCTCCCGCAGCGCCTGCTTCTCTAGCACCTTGCTCTTGGCAGGGAGCAGCTCCTTGAGCGCTGAGTCCTGCGGTGCACGGAACCGGTACTGGCCCCCCCACACTGGCCCCCACAGTTGCCCAGCACTGGCCCCCGCACTGGCCTCTGCACAGGCCCAGCACGGTGCTGAGCGGTGTCCCGGCCTGCTGCCACCTACCAGCCAGGCACCCGCCCACGAAGACCTCTCCCTAACACGCCTCGCCTGCGACAAGTTTCCAGCTGCGGCAGCAGCCAGCACTGCTAAGGGAGAACTGCCAGCAGGTCTGCCTTTGAGAAACCAACTTCCCATCCCCCGGGCAGCGCCCGCACGCTCCGGCGGGCCGGCTCTCAGGCGCAGGGAGAGGGCGGCCTCTTCCCAGGCACGCTAGCCCAGCCTGTGGTCGGGAGATGCGGATTAAATCTGCTCTTCCGACAGTCATTAGCGTTCTCTCTACTTTTTACTAACCGCCTCCTGTTCCTTCACCGGGTTACAGTTAATAATTCTGTCCATGAAACTTTCACTATTTAAATTACTATAGGATTTCCGCTGCTGGAATGGATGCTGAACCACCGTACTTTTTAAAAATCTGTATCCTTCACATACCATAAAATTCACTTTTAAAAGATCCAATCTACAGCTGTCATGTTTCCAGTTGTGCCCCCATCCCTACCATCTAGTATTAGAATATTACCATCACCTCAAAAAGAAACTAGATGCCTATCCATTCGCCCCCTCCCCACCAGCTCTAGGCAATTAAAAATCTACTTTTTGCTTCTTCATTTGCCTACTCTGGACATTTCATTTAGAATCCACAAAATATGCTGACTCTTGTATTTCTTTCTTTCACTTAATAACGCTCTCCAAGTTCAACCATGCTGTGGCAAGTACCAACACTGCACTCCTTTTTATGACTACGTAATATTCCATTGCATGGACACGCTATGTTTCCGGGATCCGTTCATCACTCAGCAACGCCTGGACTATCATGAACAATGCTGCTAATGATGCTAATGAACACTTCCATCTAAATTTTTGTGTAAATGTAGATGTTTAATTCCCCTGTCACACGCAGAAGAGTAGAACTGCCGAGTCACGTTGGAATTCGATGGTTAACTTTTTGAGGAGCTGTCGAACTGGTCCCCAAAGTGCCTGCACCATCTGCCACTCCCACAGCAACAAGTAAGGGGGGACCGGCTCCTCCTGTTTTGGCCAACGCTTGCTAGTGTCTTTCCTACGACAGCCACCCTAGCGGGTGTGGAGCGGGTCCCACTAGTTCTGATTTGGATTTCTCCCATCAGTAATGATGTGCAGCATCTTTCCACTCGGTTACCGGCCATCTGTATATCTTAGGGAAAGTGTCAATTCAAATTCTACATGTACTTTATTACTTTCTTTTTTTTTTTGCCTAATTTTCCTGGGATAGAAGCTCCAATAAAATGCCAAATAAAAATGGCCTGATAGGGGCGCCTGGGTGGCTTAGTCGGTTAAGCGTCCGACTTTCGCTTAGGTCATGATCTCACGGTTCGTGGGTTCGAGCCCCGCGTCGGGCTCTGTGCTGACTGCCAGCTCAGAGCCTGGAGCCTGTTTCAGTCTGTGACTCCCTCTCTCTCTGACCCTCCCCTGCTCACTCTCTCTCTCTAGAAATAAATAAAAAAAACCTTAAAAAAAAATTAAAAAAAAAGAAATCTTTAAAAAAAAATAAATAAATAAATAAAAAATAAAAAAATAAAATAAAATAAATAAAAATGGCCTGATAGTTTTTAAGGGAAAAATAGAACTTAGTTTATGAATAAAATACAAATTCATGAGAAAGCACAATTTTAAAAATGGCTTAATTCTATTAATCCAGGGGGGAGGGGGAAATGGGACTAAATCATTTCTCTAGCAGCTTCCCCCTTAAACACATTTTATTTACATTTCCAACCATTTAATCAACATCATAAAATCATCCGAAATTTACTGGAACAAATGCTGACTTTTAATCTAGCACTATTTCTCTTTTTGGTTTCTACTTTTAGTTTTGCCGCTGGCCACCTACAAGGTCCCCTTTTCCTCATGAAAAATGAATTGGATGAGTGGTACATTTTGAAACTCAGTGAGCTCCCTCAGAAATTTTCCTTGTCTATGCTTTTTCTAAAATTTAGTTTCAAGTTTGCTCTAAGTATGCTGACCTTAATTAACTCTCACCACTCTTCTAAAATACAAAAGATTCCTCAATGATTTTCCTTCACAAACAATTTTTGTGGCCTCATTTCACATGACTTCCTTTAAAGCATTACAACTTTCCAGCCACAAACTACTTGCTGTTCCCCATCCAGGTCAGGCACTCCGGTGCCCTGTATCTTCGCAAAAGCTGCCTCCTCTTCCCGGAATGTCCCTCCAGGACTCCTCTATCAAATCCCAGTCAAGAGCCACTTCTGTGAGGACCCCTTCGATGACCTCAGTCTGACACCGTTTGTCTCAAGGCACCAGTTTCACTCTGCCTTTCGTTATGTGGCTAGTTTATGTTTATCTCTGTTCTTGAGGCCCAGGCCTTTAATTTCTTATTCATCTAGCGTGATGTCTTATCCTAAAAGAAGTCAAATGTTTACTAAACTTTTACCAATATTGTCAAAATAGCAGTAAAGATATCTTTCAAACATTTACTGAAACGTACAATTTCCTTCTCTTGCGAGTCTACATATTTGAACACACACTGCTAAAATTTTTCCAAGATAATAACAAATTCTTGTATTGCTTTTCTGAAAGGCTCCATTAACTTGACTGAGTTAATCTTTGATCTACTGTTAAGTGTCAAAAATAAGTAGCTCTTACTGAAAAACTACAAAGCTATCTTTGAAAAATCCTTTCAAGTATGGTTGGAATTTCAGAATGACTAATGATGAGATTTAAGGGGATTGTGAAAATAATTCTAATTACATCAGTACGTGAACTCTCATTTCACTTTCTCTTAAAAGGCCCCTCACACACTATCATTGTAATGACTACACAACTTTGTTTCTAGGCCTCCTCTGCAGCTGAGAATCCACTGGGACACATCCTACTGACTGAGATTTGTAGGCAAAACATCTTGCCATCGTTCTACTCGAAGAGTCTGGCACAACATCCCCGACTATGGCAGCTTTGTTGCACTGGTCTGATGCCCGAAAAGAACTGGTGTTCTCCACTTACCCCTACACCAGGGTTGGCCCACTCTATGCAACCTCACGGGCTCTGACCTCTCTCCATGCATAATGAAGGATCCTTTGCATCCTAAGCCTTAGAAAATAACCCCCAAAATTAGTTTCTACTAAGAGGTTTCTCAGAGCTTGGGATAGTGCCAGGGTTTTTTTTAGAACATCTAAAAATAAAAACTACCCTACTCTTCTGCCTCAGTATCCAGTTTCCCATTTGACTTTCCATCTCGTCAGGGCAAGTCAGGGTAACTTCCTTGGAGTCGTTATATTTGTGCAGACTAAAATTCTCCATAATTCAAATGCCATATCGGATATTTCAGAACAGCTAGTTAATCTGCCTTCTCGCTTCAACACTCTAGTTAATAAAA